TAATTCCCCCCAAAAAATTCTTGAAACTCACACGATGACACATTTACACAAAGACAATACAAAATATATGAATAAGTACAATTTATTTAAAAATATGTACAAAGTCAAAAGCAAGGAGCAGTTCAATTGAAAGTTCTTGTTCAATTTACAACTAGCTTCAAGGAAATTATGATTTTTCCAAACAGGAACCTTTAAAGTTAACGGGCTAAACAGCTTGCATTTGTGCTAATGTAAAGCGTCTTAAATATGAATTCATGAACTCACTGTCAAAGACAGCCCATCAATCTCTACACAACAGTAAAACATGGATTTTCTCTGGAACACTACATGAGATTTATCATATTAGACAACTTCATTTAAACATCTGACAATTTTTTTATCTATTAAAATCTTACAAAAGCATTCACAAATGCAGTCATACTAAAACCTACAGGAAACGTTTTTCTTTAACTGATGAAGTTGTACACCAGAAATGTTGGTGTCTCGCAGTACTTTGTAGCAAACAGCTTTCCTTCTGGTGTAGGGTCAGAGAAGGCGATTTCCTCTTTGGTCAGGTGGCTCCCGTACATGAAAGTAGTCCTGAAAACAATTTTATATACAGAAGCAACCTCCCACAATAAATTGTTTGTTTGTTATTAATGCACTGAAAATGTTTAGTACCTGACAGTGTCCAGAAGGCGAGTGGCGATGCCCTTCCTCCTCATCAGACTGAAAACCCAGATGCGACTGACACCACAGATGGCTTTTTCCGGCACGGTAGAGCAGCACCAGGCTCTGTGGTGCTCCATGAAATCCTCCTTGCTCATGTCTTTGGGTTTCTCTTGCTCTTCCAGCACCCGAAAAGCCTAATTGATATTGGGTATGATAAGAGTTTAGCCAGATCAAGAGGGTTTCTGCAGGGTTTTTTTTGATGGCAATTGTTTTTTTGTTTTTTACACAAAAATAGCTCAAGGCTTGAATAGCTCTGCTCCTAACCACTAGAATATGGAAACCACTTTTACTGTACCTTCTTATCACACTGCAAAAAAAACGATGTTCTTAATTAGTATTTTTGTCTTGTTTTCTAGTACAAATGTCTAAAGATTCTTAAATCTACATTTACTTGAGAAGCAAAATGAAAATAGTTTTGTGTTCTGAGAAAACGATCAAAATTAAGTGGGTTTACAATTAAAACAAGAACAAATATCTACCAATGGGCTCAGAAAAACCAACATAATTTAGATTTTGGTGCAAGAAATTAAAAGATATTTGAAAGATACTTGTTCTTGTTTTAAGCATAAACTCAATTTTGATCAATTTCTCAGAAAACAAGACGTTCAAATTGCATCTCAAGTAAATGTATCTTGATTTAACGATGTTTAGACATTTGTATTGGGGAAAAAAAAAATACTACAGATTATTATTTTTTGCAATGCATGTAACATTTAATGCCTTGACATTTCTGCTCAGATTTGAGACCTTTTTAGTCCTTAACTTGTGGAGGGGGGAAACAAACCTTTTAAAAACACAGAAACACAACTTTATAGCTCAGAATGGCAATGATACTGAACTAAAGTCAAATGTTAGAAATGGTTTGTTAAACACTCACCTGTCTAATATTTTCAGCCACCAGACATCCCACCACCATCCTGTCGCTGTTAATGAACAGGTAGGTTTTAGCTGAGCTCGGGCTACTGAGGGTGATCTGCTGAAAGCCCAATTCACTGTCTGCAATCCGTCTCACGTCCTCTGCCTGAAACAAAGCAGCACAGGTTAGGAAATGCTGGAGATTTAGCTGGACAGAGCAAGTGTTTAAACTATAACCAATCACTGCCAGCATACCTTTTTTGTGGCATACTTAGGATCATCAGGAAGAATGAGAATAATCTTTCCATCCCAAAACTCAGCCACAACCCTCTCTTTTTTCCAACCCTAAAAACACAAAATGATGTAAAATTGCATTATTTGTTACAGCAGAATTGCTCAGCTGCATTGATGAAAACATCATGACAGCTCACCACAAACTTAATGGTGTCCAAGAATCGCTGATGGAACTGTGTGTGCTGGAAGTTGTCCTCTGGACTGTCTGTACTGTACAGCATCCCACAGGACTCACACGTGGTGGCGCCGAACTGCTTCTGACCAGCATCCTAAATACCAGACGCGTTAACCATTAAGAAGAGGTGAAAAGAACTACCAGTTTATTTCTCTCCAACAATTTGACTTTCTACTCACAATGATAAGCTGGTTATCTGTTTGCTTCTTCATCTCTCTTCTCAATGCAGTTCTCTCTTTGGCCTTCAGAGCAGGAGTACCAGTCAGTGCAGAAGAACTGCTGGTGTTCAGCTGTGGCAACAAAACCCCTTTTTTCTGAGCTCTAAAACAAAGATGAGAACAACTGCTGACGATCAAACAAGACACTTTACGTGGTCATGACATAGCTGATAGACTGAATATAAACTGGCTGGAACACAACGTCATTAGGTCATTCTATAACAGTAGCCTTATGCAGCAATGCTTTTGAAACTATACATTTTTTACAGTAACCATGACTGCTTTTTTTCTGTAACCACGCTCCCCCCACTTCCTCAGTGTGACAATTTTTGCCACAGTTGCATTAGGAATAAATAAGTATATGACTGTCTTACCTCTTAGTGCCAAAGATGGGATAGACAGATGACTCTTCTGAAGAGGGAGCAATTAAAAAATAATTTACAAAATGTAAAAAAAAAAAATCAGATATTGTTTTGCTTTGTTAAAAACAGAATTTATAAAACTAATTCAACTTCTCAAATAAACTGAACAAATTAGAAAGTAAGTTCTAAAGTAATATAGAATAAAAATGACTTGTTTATAAAATACAATATATTTTTGTTTTTATAGATAATTGGTGGATGTTTTTTACCTTCATCAAGAGAGCTGTTGTGATCTGGTGGTGGTATGTCACACACATCAAACACCGAATCTGTTTTTGCGGGTGAGTCCTGGAAAACATTTTCAGTTTGAGAAAAAGCTGATGAAAGCTTCACATAGTTACTAGCAGATAACTCAACAGTTCAATATTACCTGGCTACTAGCTTCAGTGGATCTGTTGGGACTAACAGATCTCCTCAAAACCACCTTTAACTCTTTGGTAATACCATGCATATGTGCCAGGATATGAGGGGACATCTGCTTGGGGCTCAACATCACTTGCGTTGACTCGCTGTGCTCAGCAACTTTATCGGTAGTAACTTCAGTTGTGTTGTCTGCATTCGGGTGTCTTTTTAAGAAGATGGCACGGCGGACTGGAGAACGTTCTCCTGGTGCTGTCGGCGCTTCCTTCTCCTTTGTGGGTTTCTCACAGGTTGAGGGTTGTTTAGGCTTTGTGTTCTGTGCAGATCTTTTGAACATTGAAGTGGGCTTTTTTCCAGTGCCGAAGAAAGCTGCTCCCACAACCAGCTTGGGCTTGCTCTTGGATTTCATACTGCTAAATGAAATCGGGGCCCCCGTGGCCTTCAACGACTGATCTGTTTGCGTGTCAGAGGGACTTTTCCCTTTGGGTTTAGCAGTGAAGTAGCCTTTCAGGTTAGACTGTGGAACTGTGGCACTGCCTTTCTTTTGGACCTTCCTCACTATTTTTTTAACAGGATTCCCAGCATTCAAAGGGAGGCGTGATGGTTCTTTGCTAGGGACTGATGGCGGTGACTTGGTTTCCTTTAACAGCTTCCTTTCCAGAGGTGTGAGATAAAGAGGTTTCTGCTTGCTGTAGAAGGATCCCGCTCCCAATACAGTTTTTCGTAGCGAGATTCGTTTTGGAGGAGATTCTAGTGAAGAGGTCCTCGGCATCTTCTTAGGTGTACTGAGAATCTTTTGGGGTGATGCCAGCGAGGTGGGAATATTCTCTTTTTGTCGAGTGGCCCTTCTTGGAGAGTTTCTCAGGCTTGTTATTCGTTTCTTAGATGGGTTACTGTGGTGGGTATAAACAAAACGGAAAGAAATGGTTCACAATCTGTGTCATAAGAGCAAAGTACATTTCAAAATCTAATATCTATCACATACCTCTCAGCATCAGGAGAGCCATGTTTTCTTTTTCGGGATAACATCTTCAAATCACCTGAAATGAGCAGACAGGGAATCAGAACATGAAGTGGTATAAATGGCTTTTATAGGACGCCACAGTTTGCATTTCTGATATTTCTGCAGTAGAATTTTGCTCCCACTTAATCATATGAGAATTTTGTTGAAAAAGTAGTAACATGATCAAATTTAGTAGACAAAATGAGTCATTTGTGTCAGTAGACTGAGAATACTCTGTGACCTTAAACTGAGAGATTCAAAAGAATCAAACTGTATGTGTTTTCGAGTCAAGCGTATTGCTATGATAACGACATATGTAGCTTGGCTCATAGTATAAAGAATATAGTACATATATTTTCAATACATATCATCCTTTTATACCGCAGCTCTTTTCTAGGCGCCTATTAGTTGACAACAAGCAACATCTCGTTAAAATACACGCAGGATCCCACAGTCAACACAAACCGCGTTCTAATACTGACAATGTAACAATATATGAATTAGTTCACATACCAGGTAAAAAAAAAAAAAAATCCGATTCTGTTTTTGATTTTGTGTGGAAACACCTGAACACAATTATTGCGGCAAATCTCTCCCTTCACCCGCGGTCTGTTTTGAACAACGCGCCAAAGTCAATTGCGGCGCACACGGAAACGGAAACAACGACTCTGTGTGACGTCCGGTTAAGTGCGATTCATCTCTACGAATCGGTTCTTTCGGACAGTTTGTTTCAAAGAACCGGTTCAAAAAACTGAGCGCTCCAATTCAGATTGTTGCGGCCATCCAGTTCCTCCAAAAAACGTTATTTAGAATATTTTAGAAAGTTTTTTTATTTATTAGAACCCACGGACGTATTTGCTGACGTGAGCACAGTTCGACATCGGAACGAATTGTTCAAACCTGAATCGTTTAGACCCGTTCAACCGAGATGCGATTCAAATGAACGATTCACTCACCGGGAATCACGTCGTTGGAGCGCTGCTTGTTCCTGTTGTGGTCGGAATAGATGGTGCACATGACATGTGCCTCTGAAACAGGTTATTACTTACCTCTGATGTGCGCGATGTATTGTTGAATACATATTTGAAAGGTTGCGTCTTTGCGTAAAAAGATGGTGTTTTACTTTATAAGCGCCGGTGAGTAGTGAATTGTGTGCTTTCTGTGCCCAGGCAAAACAGTGTTTATGTTGTCAACAAAGACATTTGCATTATAATGCTAACAATAATACAACATGGATCAAAACTGCAATACGCTGTAGCTTGACATTGTGAGATTATATTGTTGGAGGTTCGGTGTGTCTTCAGATATGTAACAAGAATAAACAAACAAACAAAAATTGCTTTTTAAAAGTTGCAATACATGCTTCTCTTTTACAGTTGTCTCGCCGCCCTATACCATCTATATGGGCAAAGATAAACATGAAAGTAAATCATTTCTTATAAATAATATTTTCCAGCACCCTCACACTTTGCTTGTCACGCCATTAGTAACTTTTTGTTTTTCAACAGATGAAGATCTTATAAAATATGGATGGCCTGAAGATATCTGGTGAGAACAAAAATCTATTTGGTGTTTGCCACCACAGATGAATTATTATTTTCTAGTTTTGCTTTGCTGTGAAATATTAGTTCAAGTGCAATGAATGTTTCTTGTGTTCCAGGTTCCATGTGGACAAGCTCTCATCTGCCCATGTTTATCTAAGAATGCCCAAGGTATCATATTTTAACCTACAGGTTTATTTATAATATTTCTGTGTTTACATTTATTATGTTCACACTTAAAGGGTACAATGATAGAAGAGATACCAAAAGAAGTCCTGGTTGACTGTACCCAGCTGGTCAAAAACAACAGCATTCAAGGTAATGCTTCTTTACAAGACACATCCAAACTTGTTTGTTAACAATGCTATTTAAGGGATTTTCTCAAATGTATTTTTATTTATAGGTTGCAAAATGAACAATGTTAATGTTGTCTACACACCGTGGGGCAATCTCAAAAAAACAGCAGACATGGATGTCGGGCAGATAGGCTTCCATCGGCAGAAGGAGGTATGCGGAGAGATATAAACTGTGATTTTGTTCACACTGCAGCCAATTCTGATCCAGAACTTTTATTAGGATGCATCAGCTTGAACTGACAGAAATTAAACTAATCTGAGTAAGTTGTGCCTAAAAATACCATTTGCTGCCTGTCTGAACAAAGTCTGTGTGATTCTAAGGTGCTCAGGTATTACTATAGTACTTTGAAATCTTCTAAATAACTGCAAATTCTGTATAGATATCCATTTGCTATACAATGTCAACAGGTGAAAATTGTGGCAGTAGAAAAGAAAATCAACGAAATCATCAACAGACTAGAGAAAACAAAAGAGGAGCGCTATCCTGATCTTGCTGCTGAGAAGGAGTCCCGGGACAGAGAGGAAAGAAGCGAGAAGAAGACACAATTACAAGAGCAGAAGAAAAAGGAGAAGGAAGAAATGAAGAATAAAAAAGAGACGGACGAATTAAGGTGCTGCATATTGTTAAAATATTGAGCATATTATGCATTTTATTACCTCTACACAAACATTTAAAGGGATAGTTCACCTTCAGTTGCTGGTCCCCACTGACTTCCATAGTATGGGGGGAAAAAACACTATGCGAGTCAGTGGGGACTAGCAACTAAAGGCGAACTATTCCTTTAATTTTAGAAAAATACACTGGCGTCCAAAAGTTTGAGACCACTAGCGAAATGCGTTTATTTAGCATTTTCTAACTCAATAAAAAAAAAGTCATTACAAATTATATTATCAGCATAACAGTTTGAGTGAATTCCTATTGTTTATATATGTATATAAATTATATTTGTTAAATCACTCTTTAAAGTGGTCTCAGACTTTTGGACTCCACTTTAGATGCATAAATGATAAATATAATAAAAAATAACCTTTGTACATCAGAATCGGTCCTTGAGACGTATTATTTACAGGTACAGGCATCTATTTTGTGTACTTACTTGTAACATCTACTTTCCTCAAGGAATTATTCATCACTCATGAAGAGTGACAACATGACCACAAATGAGGTAATACATCCTTAATATTCTGCGGAGCATTGACAAATTCTTTTATGACATGATATGATCATTTTTTCTGCAGGGTGGCAATGATTCGGATGACTTCATGTAAAGTAAAGGAATGAATCTGCGATTAATAAGAACCGACATCTTCCCCCACAATATCTTATTTGTCAAAAGAAGGGACGCGTGCACTAGAGACAGCAGAAATCAGCCATCAATAAGAAACAGTACTTGTGCCAGGACCGTTCTAGAGCAGTTGTTTTTGTCATTCCTTTGAAAATACAAATGCAATATGTAAAGTATGTAAAAATGAAATGACATGATTGAGTAGATTGCTCATTTAAACAAGAATTTCAAGATCTCCGCTGATTCTGTGTTTTAAACAGTTATGTTGTTGATGTTTTTGGATGAATTAAAGATACTCGCTGTGGAGATATGTTAATGGATGTAAGACATTTAGGGTATTTGTGCTTGTAAATGATAAACCTTTTTGGAGTGATACCATTGAATGACAAATGCCTAAACTTTTTTGATGTCCTAAACTAAATAAATCTTTGACTTTCTCAGTTCACTTCTGTTGTTATAACTTTCTACAAATACACTTCTCTGAGCAAAGCTCAAAAATATGAACTTTTTCCTCCTAAATTTCCAGTTCCATATGAAAGCAGTCATGGCATTTGGATGAAGCTAGCATTACATTAAAATGTGGTAAATGATTTAAAATATATATATATATTTAAAGTTTACAGAACTGAACTACATAATTATTGCTTTGTTCAAGCTTTCAGTAGTAAAATATTGTTACTGACAAGTCAAATTGGCGTTCTCTTCCATTCAACCTGGGCCATAATATCCACTAGAAGGCAGCATTGTATCGAACAAATAATTTGTTGGTATAAGACATCCACAATAGGATACAAAACGGGCTCTGAAATAATTTAAAAAGAGCACAGTGATTAAGAACCTCAAACTAAATATTACACAAGCTGTTTCGTAACATTTATTTATTTTATGAGATTTTATCAATGCTTACTAAAATTGCTAATCTAAAGGTCTAAATACAGCTTGAAACCCTTATTTGTGATTTTGCCATGTTTTACCAAGAAACATTAAATTATTAATTTTTATTTTTTAAATAAAATGTATATACATTTGAATTACTATACCAGAATTATTTTATTTTATACCGTAAAATAAGACCCATCCAAATAATTTTGGTACAGTAATATCACTGACAATGTTATGTTTTGGCTGAATGATCAGAAATCGAGTTTTTTAAGAGTCTGAAAGCAGCTGACAGACCACATCCTCCTAAAGAGCTAACACACTTGTTGCGGTACAGACAGACACAAAAGAAAGAAGTTATTCTGCAAAAGCGGCGTCTCCTGTCCAAAGCTGAGCTGGAAAATATGACCTTGGACTGGACCTCAGATGTCCTTCACTGGCAGGATGTTTCTGGTTTGTTTATAGGAAAGATTCCGTCACATTCTTTTCAAGCCAGTGGCACTGCACTATTATAACACAGACCTTTCCAGGAACTCATTTACAAAAAGCAAGTCTTGTATTAAAGCAAATTGGATTTAAACTTGGGAGTTACATTGTCTGAATGATTAAATCCTACTGTCACGCCCATGGCACATACATTTTACTTGTGGAGACAAGTAAATACGCTGCAAATTAATCAAAATAACAGATTAATTCAATAATGGCACACAATTCAAAGTTGTTTGTCAAAGCTGTTTTGAGTGTGGCTTGCATATGTCCTGATTCATTTCCCTTATGCCAGTGATTTAAAGGAGTCATATGATGCGATTTCAATTTTTCCTTTCTCTTTGGAGTGTTACAAGCTCTTGGTGCATAAAGAAGATCTGTAAAGTTGCAAAGACTAAAGTCTCAAATCCAAAGAGATATTCTTTATAACAGTTAAGAGTCAGCCACACCTACCTAAAACGGCTCGTTCTAACATGCCCCCACATACCTACCTCACTATGTGGGAAGATTTGCATTACGCCGCCCAAATGTTCACGCAAAGAAAGAAGGTGTAACTTTTATTCTCGCTGTAGTATTGTTGTTGCCGCCGCCGCCATGTCGTGAAGGCACTGTGTGATTCGTTGTGAAAGCGAAACTACTTTGTTTGGCCTTCCAAAAGAGGACGATATTGCGTCGTCATTCCTAGAGCTGATCCATGCTGGTAGCTGAGGAAATACTACAACTTTGCACTGTGGATCGCCAGATCGGCTTTCACCGTGGACAGGGGTCGTCACATGTGGTTGCCCACGCTTGAGGAATTCGGCCAATCACAACGCACTGGATAGCTGGCCAGTCAGAGCACACCTCGCTTTTTCAGACCGATGAGCTTTGTAAAAATCGACACATTTCAGAAAGGCGGGGCATAGAGGAGAAACAATAATGTACAGTATGTGGAAAATAATGTGTTTTTTTTAACCTTAAACCGCATAAACACATTTCATTACACCAAATACACAAAATAATGTTCTTTTTAGCAGCATCATATGACCCCTTTAAAAAAAAAAAAAAAGATTTTCCATGAAACCTTTTCAGAAGCAGCAAGGATCCATGTCTACTGTGCACCCTTAAAAATAAATGTTCTTTATTTATGGCTGAAGTTAGCATCAACAAAACAGAGAAAACGTCCTTAAACCTTAACAAACACTCATTTCTGTCCAATCGTCTGCTGTCACAGTTAGCTTAGACCTCCACTGGGTGGCTGGGGCCCTGCCACACATAACCTGTCTGCTCCATTGACCTCATGTTTAGGACAAAAAGTCTCTCTAGATGCAGCTGTGGGGCACAAACCAGACCCTGTCAGCTATACTTCACATCTTCACTGGCCATTAGCACACACTGCGGCCAAAACTAATGGCAGGGACCACACACATGCACTCACACTGACAGAGCGGGGATAAAGAGGCAGGAAAGCAGTGAGAAGTGTGGACCGCTGCACAAAATGAAAAGGGATGTGCCTCTGTGGTCTACCGAACCGGCCGGGCCAGCTGGAGCCTTTAACAAAAGCAAACAAGGTCATAAAGTGGGTGCCGAGAAGAACAGGCCTGGAGATGAGCCACTGTGATGTGAGGCAATGTGGAGGACACATGGGGCTGATTGAACAGTTCCTGCACTGTCGGGGAATGAGAAGACCTCAAACAATGAGATAAAGTGCTGCTTTCTGAACCGCTGGGAAAAACAACAGAAACAGTTAAAGGGTTATGATTATGAAGTGCTAACTTAATTTGTAAAGAAAGTGGAGACATCATTTTAAGTATGTTCAGGCGTTCTCATCATTGTATTGTGGTACCACATTCTTTAAAAAAAAAAGCAAATTATTTCAGGACTTGCTCTTTTTTTTTGGAAAGAAATTAATATTTTGTTCAGCAAGGGTGCACTAAAAGTGACAGTAGACTTTTACATTGTTACAAAAAAAATGTATTTTAAATATGCTGTTCTCTTGAACTTTCTATTCATCAAAGAATTATGAAAAATGTTTCATAGTTTTCACAAATCAGCATATTATAATGATTACTGAAAGATCATGAGACATTAAAAGACTGGAGTAATGGCTGCTGAAAATTCAGGGTTGCCATCACAGGAATAAATTACATTTTAAGATATAATAAAATAGAAAACAGTTATTTAAAATTGTAATAATATTTCACAATTTTAATGTTTCACTGTATTTTTGACCAAATAAATGCAGCCTAGCAGAACAGGCTTCTTTTAAAAGCATCAAAAATTTTACAGACCCCTACACTTTTATTGATTGCAATTTAATTGTTGTCATGAGACGCCGAAATGAAATGATATTACAGTAATAGCTGTCTGATTTTCAAAAAGACTCATTTTACTATTTTCATTAGACCTGAAAACTATCCAAAGGTCAAGCTTGGCTCATGTCATATGAAAAAAAGTATACATTTAAAAACAACAAGAAAAACAAACACAATTATTTTAATTGTCCACCTTTTATTCTTTTTTATACTGATCTAATAATATTTTATATGCTCTACTCTAAATCTAACCATCGCGTTTGGATTTTAATAATGTATTATTTGACATCATTTAGCTATTATGAATTCCACAGGGGAAAAGTTCAATATGAATTCTACAGTTCAACAAAAACAAATCTGAGATTACTTTGTGAACAAGCCACATCTGCAATTCATAAATGCATCAACTGTTTTAGCTCTTCTTTACAGTAATATCTTTGCATGATACCTACAACCATTTCCAACCATAAGGTACGATAATTACAGAAATGATCAACTTTATCTTTTAACCAGAGGAGATTTCTGCCCTCATTTGTGGGGTTAGAACCCAGTGGAGAGCATCTCTCCAGCTTCATTCTTCATAACACGATCATTCCCATGGGTACAGTTAGAGGTTTAATTTGTGCTTGACTTATCGGCAACATACTGCATTCTGCTGATTCACTCCAGAGGCCCCTGACACAGTGATTAGACAAGATCAACAGAGATGTGACCTACTGATCTGCTCAACCCATCCAGCTGACAACACAAATTCCTCTGGCACACATACAAAGCTTACACCAGCAGCAGAAGATTTCCAGTCAAACCCTTATCTCACCTTGTTTTTATTTTGACAACACTGCTAGAAAATCCAGCTAAAATCAGCTTAAGCTGGAAGATGTTTTTCAAAACTTGGTACCTGCTTTCTTATTAGCTGCTTCAAACTGGTTTATGTTGTTTACCGGCTGGTAGATAAGGAAGTTGTCAGAAGGACGTCAAAGGAATAATCATCTCAATAGCAGCTGCTTGTCTGGTGTGTGATTCTTCAGTGCACACAACCTGCTTGTTGTTGTCAACATGTTTTAGAGATGCGACTGATTAGGGGTATGGCTGGTCAGCATGGTTAGTTAGCCTCTGCTGGTAGATGTTGTAACTAAAGCATCTGACAGAAAGAAGAAAAAAACATCTTTATCCATTAATGGCCATTCAAATGCATAATAAAAACAAAGCACAACTATTTCCCTATATTAATGAAATCATTTTGATGAATATTGCTTGTAAAAATGTTTATTGCATCAGAATACACTAGAAAACAGATCTGACAGAAAGAAGAAAAAAACATCTTTATCCATTAATGGCCATTCAAATGCATAATAAAAACAAAGCACAACTATTGCAACTAAAAATGTTTATTGCATCAGAATACACTAGAAAACATATCAACCACCTAAACTAGCTTGGATCAGCTAGAAACCAGTGTTATTTTAGTATTATTTATTGTATTTATGAATCTCTTGAATTCAGTTTTCTTTTAGGTTTTAGACATTTTGTCATGTGCTTCAGTTATTTTTAATATTTCTGCTTAGATTTAATTAATTTTATTTCAGTTATAGTTTTAGTAATTCAACTTAAACTTATTTATTTCAGTTAGTTGCCAAGGAAACATTTCTAAATTTCATTTCAATTTAAAATCTTTTTTTGTTGTTGTTGTTGTTAAGGTTTTTCAAATTTTAGTTTACCATAACTACTTGTCAGTACATTTTGAAATAAACGTAATTCATATTT